AGAAGGTCGTGGTCGAGACGCTGGAAAAGCTAATTACTAAGAGGGTCTCAGGGTGACAAGGCTCCATATTTTGAATTCGGTCGTTGAACCGAGACACGTAATCCTTAACAGTCTCGTCGTCCTTTTGCACGATGTTAGTAATTGATTCTTTTGGGATGAGGCAAATTTGAGCTCCGATGAAGTGTGATCGAAAGGCCGCACGTAACTGTTGCCACTTCCAAATTGAATGGGGTGGGAGAGTATAGTACCATTTTTGTGCTCGCGGCCCCAGTGTAAGCGAAAACATCCGACATCTCAAAGCATCTGAGGCACCATGCAAATCCATCCAAGACGTATAATGACCCAAGTGCGCATCTGGGTCCGATGTTCCATCATACATGCCAATTTGTGGGATCTTTACCTTAGCAGGAAGTGCCTCCGCGGTAAGTTCCAGAGCTAAAGGTGAATCAACTTCAATAATGACATTTCCCGACGTCGAGACATGTCGGGGGGAATCTTCCTGTGACTTCTGTCGAGTCTCGAGTTCAGCTAAGCGTTTACGGAAAGTTTCAATTTCCTCCGCACTGTGCCTCGAAATACGATTCCGTTCAATCTGGCGCCGCAAATCTTCACGAACATGAGGCATTGGTGAAACAAGTCTAGGACGTGACGGAATTCGCTGATGATGAGCAGAGTGACTTTCAACAGTCATTTCCTGTATGGGGGGTTCCTCCGGGGCTTGATTGTTCGTTACCGGGTTAGCATTTATACGAGTTAACTCTTCTTGATGTGGAGAAGTGTGGTGTGGTTGTGACGTAGCATGGGATGTCGCCGCATGCGTTTCGGGGTCATGACGAGTATGATTTAGATGTTCTGTTGGATTGGTAGTTAACGGCGTTGATAATGGCACTGTACTCGAGTTTCTAGGCAAGGCTCGAGCTATCAAAGAGGTTAAACCTTGAATAAACTCCGGGTTTTGAAGAAAGTTCGTGATATTCGTGACCGGAGGAGGTGGTGTTGAACGTCGTGGGGAATGGTTAGTCGATTGACTCTGGCCAGGATGAGCTGTATGGTCTCGACCAGATTGCGACATGGTGACTTCAAGCGCGAAAATGGCTTTAACAGCGAAGGTTAACCTCAAAACGTGAGAGGCCCTTCCTCTAGCGCCAAACTGTTGTTAAACGGGAATTAACAACTATATAATCAACAGGGACTTATTGTAAATTCAAGATAGAGTAACAAAGACTACATGAACAGTGAAATAAGATGGAATGTTTTGAATATCATTGTATGTGTGTCTCTCCTCTGTCTGATTGGAGAACTTTTTCTCCTTTTATATTTATTTACAACATTTATCTAACATGTAATCATTACATGAGAATAGTCAATGGCGGCTAATTGCCATTCATCCTGGTAACGTGTCACTTGGCCAAGTGTAATGATGAGTTGTGCTGAGTTGGCACCGCCTCGTGGTGTCGGCCTAGCAAGTCGTAGATATCGGCTCGTGTAGCTATAACCGATATGTCACATCCGACATGTATTAACCGACATGTCATAATCGACATGAGATATCGGTCAATTGACGATGATGTCGGTTCTTGATGAATTCTTACCCCGTATGTGATTGTCTTGAGACCTGTGAAGACATCATCCACTTTGTACGAACTTAATTATCCTCTTACTGAACATAATCATCTGATCACTGTTGCTCAATTTGGTTTACTGAAAATGATGTCAACAACTAAGACTCATATAAATCGAAAGGGACGCTACAGAGGGAGAGAGAGAGAGAGAGAGAGAGAGAGAGAGAGAGAGAGAGAGAGAGAGAGAGAGAGAGAGAGAGAGAGAGAGAGAGAGAGAGAGATCCTAACTCCCAGGCCAGTCCTGTCGAGTAAGGCAGGATGTGTGATCCATGGTCATTGTGCTACGGCACGCTAAAATATTTGGTATCAGACCCAAATTGTGGTAATGTCCCTATTTAGCCATTAAAAGAAAGATGAAATGAAATATGACCAACTTTTTGAAAAAAATGAAATCTAGCCATTTTGGCTTATGAAAATACCTAATTGTCCTTAGATTTATTTCTTTAGCGTTTTTCTCCTCCTTCACGTTCACCCGCCTCTCTTTTCACTTTATTTTTTTATTTTTTCCCCTTTTCACGAAACACCCACTCGCCCTCCCTCTTCAAGCAATTTTTGTGTGCTCTTGTTCTCCGGCCGGCGATTCAAACTTCTTTCACGTCGAAATCCCATAGATCCGCTGCTCTTCCCCACTCGGTGCTCTTCTCAAGGTGCGGTTGATCAACTACTGCGATTTTTTAGGGTTTTCTTGTTGGAGAAACTTGTTTGGTGTGTATCTTTAGCAAAGGAAAAAAAAAATTAATCATCAGCTGCTATCACATTAGGACTTGGAGACATCCATGCCAATTTCCGTGTATCTCTTCACTATTTCTGCTGCAAAGATTTACGACTTCTAAAAGCATTGATATAGCATATAAAGAATGACCCGACAAACCATAAAAGATACGCTCGGTTTATTAAGGGTGTTATCAATTGGCGTCGTCTGGTGGTGTAACTCAGTTACTCTACTGATTGTGAGCGATGCAGGGGACAGTCGGAGAAGAAGAGAGGTTGCGGAGGAGCTTAATGCCAGTTTGGAGGAGCTTGGGTGGCGGAAACACCCTAGGGCGGAGGGCGACTGGTGACAGGAGTTGTAGGGGACAACTCGATGGTTACCCCTCAGATGAACTTGCAGGGAGTGAACCAGATCCCATCATCGGAGGTAGATCGGGAGATGGCGAAGCATGAGAGAGGTTCGGTGGTGATTGTGCAGACGCCCAGTTCGGGAGTGCCGCCGGAAGGAGGTGAGGTGGAGATACGAGTAACTAGAACGGAGTTGGATCACCTCATTGCAGAGGCAGTTGGCAGGGCGTTGGAGGCGCGAGCTCATGTGACGGTGAAGAGGCCAATTATGGCGGTGGAGAGACCAGCTGTGATGGTAGAGAGACCAGCTTTGGTAAGGGAGCAAGGGTCAACTAGGAGGAGAGCGCCGGTTAGTTTGGGGGATCAACATTTTTCGGTGATGTCTAGGCCATTGGGAGGTGGTAGTCACCAGAGAGGTGAGCAGGAGGAGAGGTCAGTGATGTATCCGACGATCCACATGCCACCTACAGACGTGATGATGGAGCAGATGGCGAACCCGATCAGGGAGCTCCAAGCTAGGGTGGAGGGTAGGCGGCAGCCCAGGATGTAGGGTCACGCCTTTACAAATGACGTTTTGGGTGCCGAATTACCTCAGAATTTCAGGGAGGCAAACATATACTACGATGTTCCGACGAGGCTAGTAGCCATATTAGCAAATCCAATATCCGATGCACTCGCCGCCACTGGGACCACCTCCTCCTCTAAATCCAACCGTTCGCAAAGTTTCGAAATCTCTTCGGAGTCCATTGCTGAAAAATTTCGTGAAATAGAGGATTGAGAAGTCGGAGCGATGAACGTTAGAGAAAATGAGAATAAAAACCCAAAGAAATGGGTAAAAACCGACCTTGCCGGATGAATTCAGACCTAGGGCTGAAAAAAAACCCAAATCCCTCTTCAAAAAAAAAAAGAAGAAAAAAAAAAGAAAAAGAAAAACAAACACTTATTGAGATGAAAAAGAAAAAAAAAAATCCTCATTTTTTTAATGTCCATCAACTTAATATTTCAGCTATTGAATTGAACAACTAACTACTAATCAAGTACCAAGTATATAACAGCTGAACACAATCACATTCATGTGCCAAAATTTTTGTAGTGAGGATCATCTCATCAGACTTTAGGTCTCTGTTCACAAATGAACCATCGATCATTACATTACTTCTATCTATATATCAGGTAAACTCGAATGCCCATTTTGCCGACTCAAGAGTGTTATAAAGCAGCATTGCAACAGTCATAGGCCCAACTCCTCCGGGCACAGGCGTAATTACACAGCCTTTTCCGATTGCTTCCTTAAAACAAACGTCTCCAACCAGCCGGTAACCATGCTCGCTTTTCTCATCCTGCAAACAAATTCACTGCTTTGTTGGATAAAACTAACCTACCATACTAACATATTAATAACATTAAAAATACAGGCACAAACATATTCTAACAACAAAAGGCTTTTCATTTCAACTTATTTCTTTTGTGCTCGTTTGGAAATTATTACGAAGTTGAACTCTCCAACAAATTAACATCACCCTATACGGAATTCGTCCAGGTGCTTCAGTGATTGTTGTATGTAAAATATAACATGATAGAGCACCTATATGTGTGTGTGTGAATCCCAATTTACATGCCCGTGCAACTACCTGAACAAAACAAATAGGCGTGTTTTTGTTCCCTACATATTAATTTTATAGGCTCAATTCAGTCTGCATGGAAGTTAATGTAAGGCTAACATGAGTTCAGAAGTGGGTTTTACAGTAATTTGACAAAACAGTACTTGATTAATTATCGAATATCACGAGCGGATAATCAATGCTTTAGTTATAAGAACAGTTTTGGAAAGAAGTCCAAAATAATTCTTTCCACACATTTATTAATTTGACTACTTAACTCGTGAATTATATACCACACGTAGAAAGAGGAAAGAAAACCTTCTAAAATTACACCATCTATAAAACAAAATTCGAAAAAAAAGATATATTTGAACAGAGAAATAGGGTCACCTCAACAGGGTTAGTTCCAACATCAACGACAACAGCACCAGGCTTTAACCAACTACCACGGACCAAATTTGGGACGCCAGCAGCTGTAACTAAAATATCAGCTTCACGGGCAATTTTTTCCAAGTTCTTTGTATATGCATGAACAACAGTCACTGTGGCATGGTGCCTCTGCCCAAGAATCGTAAGCAACTCTTATTATGAAAAAAAGAAAGAAAGAATAACAGAGGCAACAGAAATATAATATATGATATTTAGTATTTACCTGAAGCAACAAGGATGTGGGCAATCCAACGATGTTGCTTCGACCAATCACCACAGCATTCTTCCCCATAATCTCAATACCAGACTGCAGAAGCAACTCAATACAACCCTTTGGGGTACAAGGAATGAACAATGGCTCCATTCCTTGCATGGCCAAATTCCCAATGTTCAGAGGATGGAAACCATCGACATCTTTATTTAGGCTTATGCCACTAAGTATTTTAGCCTCATCCAAATGCTGTTCATATTAATTGTCAGCAATTTTAACTATTAGTTATATGATTTGATCATATTGCCTTTGAGAGAATCAAGAACAGTCAGAACAGTACAGTGGCATAACAGAAGTCTTAATTTTTGCAATCTATTTCAGTGCTTTCTTAATTTAACGCATAACAAGTGATGCTAGCAGTAATGGCATAACAGTTACAAATGCAATAATTCATGATCACCAGAAAAATCCCCATCAAAAGGGTCTGAGTAGAGTTGAGGAAACAAAGTAATAATAAAACAATACAAAATTCCGACTCGGCAAGAGTTCAATTAAACACGCTCAGATGATAGGCTTTTGTCAAAACACAATAATCCAACACAGTTGAAATACTTACCTGTGGCAAGGGAAGCTGGACAAGAATGCCATGAATTGATGGATCCTCGTTAAAGCTACACAAAGCATTACAAACTTCCCATTCAGAACAATTTTCTGGAAGCGACACCATCTTATACTTGATACCGACTTCTTCACTAGCAATAATTTTGTTGTGCACATATATCAGTGAATCTCTTCGGTGACCCACTAATATGACAGCCAAGCCGGGAACTTGCCCTATTAATTCCTTCATTCGCCTTACTTCAGAAGCTATGCTAGACCTTATTTTCTCAGCAATTGATTTCCCATCAATTATTGTGGCAGTCCGGTAATTTGCTGTCAAAAACCAATTAAAGTGGCATCATTTCGTAACCTTTTTGTGCTCCACAAGCATACAAGTGAAAAGACCGGACAAGCACTGCACATGAATATTCCCGATGGTGCCCATGACCTGTATGTGGTCCTGTTGTCTAACCGTGTACATGCCTCATTGACCGGCCCTAATCGGGAGAAAAGGTATTGAGGATAAGTGGAGTTATTTGTTTGGACCAGTTCAAGAATTTGTTCCGTGACCAACATAACATTAGCATTGACATTTTTCTTCATCTCTTCGAGTGTATAGGAATTGATTCTTGAATTTCAAGAGCCTTGACTACCATGTCCAAGTGCCTTCACTACCAGTTTTTAGGCCAGGAAGAAAATTGACATGGTAGAGAAGGCTATCGAAACTCATAAATTGGATACCGCGAAACTCGAAGAGATGCAGAAAAAGGTCAAATATAATACTTGCCGGTCACGGGCCATGTTCTTGAAATGATCCTTACGAATAACTCCTCTTAGCCTCAATATTTGTTGTCCATCTCCCGCTTGCTCCTGAGTTCTGAGGGTCTTTTCTCTATCAGCTGATCAAAGAGGCATGTCGAAACCTATTCACGGCTTAGACCTATAGGCACATATAGGTTGGGGACATAACCAAATAAGTGTTGTATCATTCCCGTCTTATACTTAACTAAGTAGGGCAGGTAAAATCTAACAGAAAGGTGTAAGTCGAAAATATGTTATCAGAATAGAAAAAAGAACACCTTCTACATTTTGTTTCTTTGCCATGTTTGAAAGGTGATTGTCCTTTGACAAATGGAGCAAAATCTCAGTAGGCTTCACTAACGTAATATATCCAGAAACTAAGCTGCTTGGATCATTATTATTATTATTACATGAGCTTTTGTTGGGACAAATTCTCTACATCTCTTGTCGACTGAGGATTCTTACTCATCCATAACTGAGCTCAATGTTACACAATATAACTAAAAGTCAGCAATCGCTTAAGTGAAAGCAATAAGCTAATCTTATCTCGTGTCCACTAATTTTAAAAGTTAAACCTCATCAAATTAGTGTATCGAGTACACAACCACAACAAGCACACACAACTGGAGAAGTACTTACGACATTCCCTGATAGATGAGTGTTCGGATTGCTGGGAAGCAGAAGACCATGAATCTGCAAGGTCGAGTGATAACAGAGAGGGGGACTTTATTATATAACTTAAATCCCGTGATGTCGATGGAGTTAGAAAAGTTTTAATCAAACTAGTTGTCTGCAGAGCTGCTCGAATTGGAACCATTATTCCTCTAGCTCTCGTGCATGATATCATTTAAACTGGTACTACATCTTTATGCTGCATTATTTAGCTTCGCGGTCAACATTAAGGTTCAGCTCTGCCAAGTTGCTGCAGGAAAGAACATAAGGCATTGTAGATAAGTAATGTAATTTGTGGACGCCTGATAACAAATGGAAAGCATAAAGAAAAATAGGAAATATGTTATTATGCTGGAGATAATCATCAACAAGATTAGAGTACTACTTTACTCAATGTGCAAGATCTACAGAAAATTTATGTAAACCTAGTGATCACTTGTTTGTATGGAGTTGGAACACCCTTCATAGTATAAACTAAATTCATAAACTTTAATGCTCTGTTCCTGGGAGCCAACACGCAGACACTTCTCACTGTATGCTTCAAGCGTAATAAGCTGCCGCATAGGAAGGCATTTGATTTTTATCAGCTAAACAAAAAGCTTTTCTTATAATCTGAAATATCCATTGAAATATCTTAAATCACACTTGACTTGTTTAGACGTGAGGTTTTCCGCACTATAATCGACCACTGATTTGTTATGTGCTCGAACTAAAATCAGCTGACCAAATGGCATGACATTATCATAAAATGGCCTTCGGCATACAAAAAGTAGCAGGCAACTTGGACCCAAAACATTAAATTTCAGCCTTGTTCTAGGTAAAACTTTAGAACTCTAAGAGTTCACATTTGTCTTGCGGCTTAATATCTTCAGTTCCTAAACTCCACACAAATAAACTTAACAGCCTTGTATTCATATATGAACTCTTTAAACTAACATATTTTGAGTCTTTGACACAAACAAACAATAACACCTCACTCCTCTATATACAATTATCCAACAAGCTCGAACGGACCCTGAATATTTCAGTAGTTTAGGTAAACCCACAAAACAAAACAAACTCAGAGGAACTTGAGAAAGCCTTAGCCGAAAGCTATTTACAATTTTTTTAACAAATAAAAGGATAGCTGAACTAGATATGAAGCGCAAATAAAGAGCCAAGCCCTAATACCTTAGCAGCATTGGTTCGCCATATTCTACCTGATTCACCACAACCTGAAGCGCGCCGGAGGTTATGCCGGATTTTCGTGTCTTGAAATGAAGGGACTTTCGGTGTCTCGATAGGAGATTAGCAACATTTATTAATCACTTTATAGTTTAGTCTCGAATTATGAAGGAGAATTTCTTTTAAGCCCGTACGTACCCGTGTGGGATGCACGGGACATAAAGACATCATGTTTGGATGTGAAAATTTTTTATTTTGTTGGATTTTTTAGTTTAGTTTGGTTAATTTTAAAAAAAGGTAGTATGATTAATTGTTAGTGGGTTGATATAGTCATACTATCGTATAGCGGCATATATTGTCCCGGTTCGAACATTGCCGAGTCGACTTACCCGAAGTCGACTCCACCCGCATGTCTCGTGATAATATATTCCGTCAAGGGTCCGGATGCTTTTCTTAGTCGACTTCTACCATGTCGACTAGCCTAAGTCGATTCCGTCCAGAAGGATGAATAAGCGCATTAGGGTCTACCCGCTATTGCGGAATGACCTAGTCGGCTCGAGTGGATATCTCGAGCCAACTGAAGTAGTCTTGGGGCTTATGGATCTTGACGACTCCTATACACTTCAACACATCAGAGGGAAACTATTAAAGGATAAGAAGGAATCTAAATGCTGACTAGGATATGGGCAGAATGCGAACCAACCGGGGTATTCTGGACATTTCCAGTAAGTCGGCCAGGGCAATTTGGGGATTCCAGGTAAAGGTTTTTACTTCTATATAAAGGAGCTGAGGTAACCCCAAAACCCTAACTCCCATTCATTTCTACATTCTTCTCCATTACTTATGCTGCTCTCTCAGAGCAGCTCTCTTCATCTCTTTCACATACTGACTTGAGCGTCGGAGGCTCTACGCCGGAAACTCCTCCGGCGTTGAGTTCTTGCAGGTGTTCTCGCGGTTCAACAGCGGTTTGGAAGCCATCAAGATAGATCTGAGCTCGTTCCCATTGGTTCATTCCGGATCTGGGCGGTTTTCCATCGGTTCATTCCAGATCTGAGAGGAGACCCATCATTTTGGCGCCGTCTGTGGGGAGTTCTTGAAGGAAGTAAGCGCTTTTAGTTCCGATCAGTTTCCGATGGCCGATAAGGAAGGACTGCAGAGAAACTTAAACGAGGATTTCAGGGGAGCATGGACAGATAAGCGACCACCGACGATCCCCTGCCCTAGACCACCTCTCCCGGTGCTGGGATTTCCACCGTTCGGGATGCACCCGCCGACGGGAGGGCGTGCGGGAGAAGAAACGCCTATTACCCCACCTGGAGTCAAGATCCCTGTGCTTACTCAAGGGGAGACCAGCCACATGAAAAACACGAGCGGAGAAGTCAATGGTCGTGAGTCAACCGAGACGTCCCTAAGTTTGGGAAAGCAGCCTGGACCGCTCGAGCAGGAAAAGAGACCGCCGCCTCAAGTCGAGGAGCAAATGTTGACCATGACAAGGGGCGAGATGCAAAGAATGATTGCAGAGGCCGTGGCGGCCCAAATCAAACAAACTCAAGTCGAACAACCAAGGGTCGAGCGGCCTAGGATCGAACAAGCAAGGGTCGAGCAGCCTCAAAATGAACAACCACCCCCAGAGCGCGAACAGCAAGCGCAATCGCAGGAGAGGCAGAACAAGAGAGCCGATGAAGAGGAGTCCTCTGTCAGGACTGTCAATCCCCAGGCGAGGAACGACACCCTGGAGCAGTTGTTAGCGCAGGTGCGAGATTTGCAGGCTCGAGTCGAGGGGAGAAAAACAGGAAGCTCGAGGGGACACCCTTTTTCACAGCATATTCTAGACGCTGACCTGCCGCATGGGTTTAGAGAACTTAACATCTGGTACGTCGGGTCGACTGACCCCTCTCGACACCTGAGGAGTTTTGAAAACATGGCAGTACTCCACCGCTACAATGATCCCGTTCAATGTCGAGCGTTCCTGACGACTCTGCGAGGACCTGCCCAAGACTGGTTTCATCAATTGCCCCCAGGAGCCGTCAGGGACTTTGATGGATTTAGTTCAAGTTTCCTGAATCAATTTGCAAGTGTAAAGGCCCAAGAAAAGTCTTACCTTACCCTGATAGACATGTAACAGAAAGAAGGAGAATCATTGAAGGATTACGTAGCAAGATATACGCGAGCATGCGTCGACGTCTCTTCAGCCACTGAGGAAATCAAGTCGGTGGACTCACTAGAGGACTCCTCCCGGGATTATGTAGAAATTCCTTGGCAAAGCGTCCCGGGAGGATGTTTGATGAGGTCCTAGGAAGGTGCGCCAAATACATGAATGTCGAGGAAGCCGAAGCCGATTTTTTGCAAGCGGCTAAAGCAAAAACTGAATCCCGAGGCGAGAAGAAGGATAAGAAACCAATCACGTCGGTAGAAAGGAAAGGATCCCCGAAGTCAGAAAGGGAGGGGTGATCAAGGGGATGGAGGACAACTCAATATACCCCCTTTAGCCTCGAGTGCAAGGATATTGGAAGTAATGGAGAAAGAAATTCGCGAAAGTGTTGTCAGGTGGCCACGGACGAGAAAGGATGAACAGACAATGCCCAAAAGCAATCTGTATTGTCGATTCCACAAGGATTACGGGCATAATACCGACGAATGTCGGCACCTAAAGAATGAGATCGAGAGACTAATCAAAGCAGGCCATCTAAAGGAGTTTGTTTACAAGGATCGAGATCGAACCCGTCGGCGAAGGTAGAGAAGCAAGAGCCCTCGCAAGAGGGCGAGGACACCCGACAAGGAGGAGCGCCCTCAGAAAAGAGGAATAATTCATATGATATTTGGAGGGCCGATTGATGGAGATTCCAATCGAGCCAGAAAGGCGTATGCTCGAGGCCGCCACGGGAAAATTGAAGTACAACAGGTTGAAGAAAACGGTCCAGTGATGAATTTTGGGCCAGCAGATATGGGAGAGGTCGAAAGACCTCATAATGATGCTCTAATGATCACTGCTCAAATATCAGGCTATGAAGTGCAGAGGATCTTCGTTGACACAGGAAGCTCGGTGAATGTGATCTTTTACAATTGCCTTAAATGGATGGAACTCGACATCGAGATTACGCCCCTGCACACCTCACTTTTTGGATTTAATGGCTCGGAAGTCGCACCCCTAGGAGAAACCACGCTCGCAGTCGTCCTCGGGGAAGGCGACTTGAGGAAAATAAAGATGGTGCGATTTGTTGTAGTCGACGTCGAGTCGGCTTACAATGTGATTTTAGGAAGGCCAGCGCTCAACACATTTCAAGCAGTAGTGTCGACCTACCACATGAAGCTGAAGTTCCCCGTTGGAGATAAAGTAGGGGAGGCCCGAGGAGACCAGAGGCTGTCAAGAACCTGTTACCAGATAGCAGTAAGAACAAACCAACGAGCAGAAGTAAATGAAGGGAAAAAGCCGATGTCGAGTGAAAATAGACAAAGGGAAAGCGACCTTGAGCCGCACGGAGAGTTGATGGAAATTCAAATCGGGGAAAGAGAGGAGCAGACCACTAAAGTCGGGATAGAGTTGGAAGACGAATTGCATGGACAGTTAGTGGGACTGTTGAAAGAATTCAGAGACATATTTGCCTTTTCCCCGGAAGAATTAACGGGAATCGATCCCGATGTCATGGAGCATAAACTTAATGTCGACCCCCTAAAAAAGCCCGTAAAGCAGCGACTTAGGCATCATAGGGCGGAAATCGATAAAGCAATTGAGGTCGAGGTAGATAAGGTACTAAAAGCCAAACATATCAAAGAAATTCAATTCCCTGAATGGATATCAAACACAGTGATGGTGAGAAAAGCGCTGAACAAGTGGCGTATGTGCATCGACTTTCGCGATCTGAATTTAGCATGCCCAAAAGATCACTACCCCTTGCCGAGAATCGACCAGCTGGTCGAATCCACAGCTGGCTGCCAATTGCTGAGTATGATGGACGCGTCCCAGGGATATCATCAAATTTTGCTGGCCCCTGAGGATCAAAGCAAAGTTAGTTTCGTGACGAGCAAGGGGACATATTGTTATGTCGTCATGCCGTTTGGGCTTAAAAACGCAGGGGCAACGTACCAAAGGTTAATGGACCGAATGTTTAAATCGCAAATCGGGCGAAATATGGAGGTTTACGTGGACGATATCCTGGTGAAGAGTAGGTCCTCGATCTTGCATGTGGAGGATTTAAGGGAAACATTTAAGACACTAAGAACATTTGGGGTGAAGTTAAACCCAAGTAAGTGCGCTTTCGGAGTAAAAGCGAGACGATTTTTGGATATGTCGTAACTGAGAGGGGCATCGAAGTGAACAAGGATAAGGTGAAGGCTATACTCGACATGGACGCACCTAGAAATATCAGAGAAGTACAAGTTTTGACAGGTCGAATTGTCGGCTTAAGTTGGTTCATTGCTCGAGCGGCGGAGAAAAGTTTTCCATTTTTCAAGTTGCTTAAAAAGAAAGCTTTCCAATGGAATGATGAGGTGCAAGTAGCATTCGAAAAACTGAAAGAATTTCTGAGCGAATTGCCGCTACTAACGAAACCAGAACCGGGTGACGAACTAGTGCTTTACATTTCAGTGGGCATGTTTTCTCTAAGTTCCGTTTTATTGCGAGAGGCAGCAGAAGCCCAACAACCGATTTATTATACAAGTCGAGTACTTCACGGAGCAGAAACGAGGTATTCCGAAGTCGAAAAAGCTGCTCTGACATTAGTGATAACAGCTAGAAAACTGAGGCCCTATTTTCTGAACCATGTGATAGTGGTGAGGACGAACTTCCAACTTGGGGAGACGCTGGGTCGACTTACCGTCTCAGGTCGACTCGTGAAATGGGCAGTCGAGCTAAGCGAATACTCCATCAAATACGAGCCAAGACGTGCCATAAAAGCTCAAGCCCTAGCAGATTTTATACAGGAGGGAACTAAAGGAGATGAAAAAAGGTGGATAATGCATGTCGATGGATCTTCAGCAGCCAAGGGGTCAGGTCTGGGTGTTGTCTTAGTATCCCCCGAGGGCGAACAGCTCGATTTCGCTGTAAGAATGGGCTTCAAGGCCTCAAATAACGAAGTAGAATATAAGGCACTGATCAAAGGAATTCAACTCGCAATAGGGGGCGGAGCAACAGAAATCGTGGCCCACTCCGACTCACAGCTTGTTGTGGGCCAAGTGATGGGGAACTGTGAAATAAAAGAAGATAGAATGAAGAAGTATGTCGAGGAAGTTCAAAGCCTGGTGCAAGGCTTGGAGAAGTTCGAGCTGACCCAAATCCCTCGAGAGGAGAACAAACGAGCCGATTGGCTCGCTAAGATAGCCAGCTCAAATGAGGGGAATATGGGAAGCCACATTACCACCATGAATCTGGAAAAAAGTGTCCTGGGAGAAACTATGGAAGTCAAAGAAAAAGAAGATTGGAGGATGCCGATTCGCGAGCTTTTGCAAAGAAAAATACCTACCAGGGATAAGCAGGAAGCCGAAAAAGCCGCTCGATACCTAAGTAAGTACTTCGAAATCGAAGGAGTGCTATACAAGAGGTCGTATGTCGGACCCCATTTAAGATGCATTTCTGAAGACGAGGGAAATTATGTCTTGCAGAAAGTTCATGAAGGATGTTGCGGGGCTCACGTCGGGTCTTGGGCTTTAGCTGGAAAAGTTCTACGGGCCGGCTATTATTGGCCGAAAATTAGAAGAATGGCCGAGCAATTAGTACAAGGATGTGAAAGATGCCAGCGTCACGGCCCGATCCCTCATATTCCGGACTTTACAGAAATTCTGGACTTTCCAAAAATTAGTATAAAATTTTCGAGATCATTTTCGAAATCTAATGGGTGTTAAACAACATATTTCGTAACCCAAGTCTTATCTGGGTCCACGGGGATTCATTACCAGTTTTCACGAATGGTTTTCATTAACCAAAGCATAACGTGAGACATAATTCTCAAACATGAATATACTTAAACTATACCATCACACCCAACATCGGGGTTCCACAAGTTTTCCAAA